GGCCAAGAGGTATGATACAGACTCTAAATTCATCAAAAAAAGAAAACTAGAATATATAAGGAGAAGGAAACAGATAAATATATAGATGTTAGACCTTATCTTTCTGCAACAGTGAACAGTTATTTACAGGTAAATAAATGATTTTAAACCTGAGGGTGAATAAAGGGCAGGGGAAACAAAGAAAATAGACAAAAAGTAGAGATTGTGAAAAGTAATATTCAGAAAGCTTAGAAGTAATGTACTTAAAAACTAAAAAGCAAAAGAACTATCAAGATAACAATCAGATTAAGAACATTTTATTAATTCCTCAAAAAGTTAAATATGTGAGTTACTATGTGACCCACAAATTCCAGTCTTGTCTTTATAAGCAAGAGAATTAAAAATAATATATCACACAGAAACATGTATGTGAATGTACACAGCAGCATATTCATACTAATCTCAAATGTAGAAATGGGCCTCCCTGGTGGTGCAGTGGTTGAGCGCTGGGCTGTAAAGCTGCCCGCAGCCTCTGCAGCACTGGTTCTATCCCCGGCCACAGGGCGAGGGTCCCACATGGCGCGCAGACCTCTCCTGCCGTGCCCGCAGCTCCCCTCAGCAGTGTACTTCGTCAGTCTGTCTGTTCTGCTCTCCACTCTGGCGAATTCTCTCACCCTCCCGTGCTTCTGACTGTACCCCTGTGCTTGTATAAATAAATAAATAAATATTTTAAAAAATAAAAAAATTAAAATAATAATAAAATGTAGAAACAACCCAAATGCCTATCAACTGATGAATAGTTAAATAAAATGTAATCCTTTATTCATTCTTTTGCATACAGATGTTCAGTTTTCCAAACAAGGTTTATTAAAGACATTCCTTGCTCTATTGTATGCTCTTTACCCAGGAGAATGATGATGTCAATGAAATTGGAGGAGCATCAGTTGATGTGTTGACAATATCATTAGTTTGAAGAAAATAAGCCAAACCACCACCAGATTAAGCAGGAGAAATGCATTAATTTTTTCAATAAGTAATATTGACTTATTGATAACTTCTTAGCAGGTACTATATAAGGCATAATATAGTATATAATATAATGTGCATAATAAGGAGGTAAGGGGGGAAGGGGAAGTAGAGGTGGTACATCAAATACTCTGCTCTCATTCAACCTGATTTTATGATACAAAATAATGAAATAATCACTAATGAAAAGTAAAAACTATTGAGTAAGCAGCCAAAATGAATGAATACATGATTCACGTGCTTAATTTGGACAGCAAATCTCCAGGAATAAATTCCAGTGATTTCTGCCCATCATAACAAAGTTGTTTCTAAGTACTCTTCTTGTTGGTTGGTATTACTTAATCTGCTAAGTAGAGATAAGAGCAGAAATGAAATATTGAACAGTTCATCAGTGAAGTTCTGGCACAAGTTTGGGGAAGTGATATTGATATACAGAGTAGCCATGTAAGTTACAGCAGCAGCTCACATTTTAATTGTGGAAAGACCACTTAATTCTTTCTTGTCAATGCAGATGGAATAGCATTTGCCTCACTTCTCAGGATCCTCTCCAACTGAATGACACAATTTGAGCTTGGTTCACTTTAAAGAATTTTAAATTATCAATCTCCCAGCTTGAGTATATCAAGCCATGGTTGGTGATAACTGGTACAGATTTATGTATAGCACTTAATTATTGCCTAAATAGTCCTAAATTGCTGGGCAAATTTAACCAGAATCTTCCTAAATAGAATATTTTGAAAATAATTCAGTGTACATTGAAAACTATAAGACAATGTTGAAATAGAACACACAAAAAATGGGAAAAAAATTATTCCAGGCTCATGGATTTTAAGAAATAACACTTTTTAAATAATGTTACCTAAAATAATGTACAGATTAAATCCAATCCCTCCCAAAATCCCAATGGCATTCTTCACAGAAATTGTACCAAAAAGTCATAGAAATGGGCATAAGGGTGGGGGGAGAACTGCAAAAGACCCTAAATAGCAAAAACCACCCTGAAATTAAAAAAAAAGGAAGTGCCAGCCTCCTAAACTTCAAACTACTAAAAAGTGATAGTAATCAAAATAGCTTGGTATTGGAAGAAAAACATACAAAGCAATGAAACAGAAACCCAGAGCTCAGAAATAAACCCAGACTACATAAATATCTAATTTATGGCAAAAGGGCCAAGAGCATACAATGGAGTAAGGAAAGGATCTCAATAAATGGTGTTGAGGAAACAGACAGCCACATGCAAATGAATGAAACTAGACCACTGTCTAACACCATACACAAAAACTAATTTAAAACTGAGCCTCTCTGGTGGCGCAAGGGGTTAAGCACAGCACTGTAAAGCTGTCTGCAGCCTCTGCAGCATGAGTTTGATCCCTGGCCAGCCATGGAGCTACCCACATGGTGCAGCAGACCTGTTCCCCTCAACAGTGTATTTCAGTAGACCAGCTTGTTCTGTTCCCCACTCTGTCTCTGGTGAATCCTCTCATCCCCTGTACCTCTTGCCTATGCCAAAGTTCTTGTATGCATAAATAAATCTTTTTTAAAAATCTAATTAAAAATGGATTAAAGACTTGCATGCAAGACCAAAATCACAAAATTTATAGAAGAAAACTTAGGTGATACTTTCTCAACATCAGCCTTAGAGATGTCTATAGGGATTGACACCATTAGCAAGGGAAACAAAAGTGAAAATAAACAAATGGGACCACATCAACTGAAAAGCTTCTGCACACCTCAAGAAACTATCTTAAAAATGAAAAGATGTCCTACTGAATGGGAAAAGATATTTGCACATCACACATTAGAAAAGGGGTTAACATCCAAAAAATACAAAGAACTTATAACTCAATAATTAAAGTATGAGCAGAAAATATGAATAGACACATCTCCAAACACAACAAACAGATGGCTGCTAGGCACATGTAAAGATGTACATCATCTCTTATTAGGGACATGCAAATCAAAACAATGAGATATTGGGGCCTCCCTGGTGGTGCAAGGGGTTAAATCTCAGCACTATGAAGCTATTGGCAGCCAGTGAACCACAATTTTGATCACCTGCCAGGAAGCTGACCCACACAGCACACAGACCTGTCCTGTCTCACCCACTGCTCCCCTCAGCAGTGTATTTCTGCTCCCCACTCTGTCTCTGGTAAATGCTCTTACAGCCCCCACCTCTGGTCTATACCCCAGCTTGTATGCATAAATAAATCTTTTTTAAAAAATGAAGTATCACCTCATGTCAATGAGAATGACTATTCTCAAAAGACAAGAAACAAGTGTTGGAAAGGATGTGGGAAAACAAGAACTCTTATACTAATTGTAGGAATGTAAATTGGTATGGCCATTATGGAAAGCAGTATGGAGATTCCTCAAAATCAAAAATAGAAATGCAGGCCTCCCCAGTGGTGCAGCAAGTTGAGCGCAGCACTGTGAAGCTGTCCACAGCCTCTGCAGCACAGTTCGATTCCTGGCCAACCAGGGAGAAACCCACATGGCATGGCAGACCTCTCCTGTCTTGCCCACTGCTCCCCTCTGCAGTGCTTTTGGTCCGTCTGCCTGTTCTGCTCCCAGCTCTGTATCTGGTGAATTCTCTTACCCTCCTGCACCTCTGGCCTATACCCCAGCTCTTGTATAAAAATAAATCTTAAAAAAAAATGGTTAAAAAAATAGAAAGGCTATATGCTCCAGTTATCCTACTTAGGGGTATTTATCTGAACAATACATAAACACTAATTTGAAGATATATGTGCACTCCCATGTTCACTGCAGCTTTACAATAGCCAAAAGCTGGAAACAACCTAAGTGCTCAGTGACAGATGATTGGATAAAGATGTTGTATAGATACACAAGGGATGCCAGTCAGAATTTCTTTTTTAAGATTTAACCATTTATGTATACAAGAACTGGAGCACAGGCCAGAGGGGCGGGGTGGGGGTGGTGGTGAGAGGATTCACCAGAGACAGAGTGGGGAACAGTACAGGCAGACTGACCGAAGTACACTGCTGAGGGGAGCAGCGGGCGAGTCAGGAGAGGTCTGCTGCGCCACATGGGCATCTCCCCGGTCATGGATCAAACTCGTGCTGCAGCGGCTACAGACAGCTTCACAGGCTGTGTCCCAACCTTCTGTGCTACCAGGGAGGCCAAGTCAGCATTTTTTAAAAGGATGAAGTCCTGCCATTTGCAACAGCACAGATGGGCCTAGAGTATTATGCTTGGTGATATAAGTCAGAGAGAGAAAATCATTATTTCATTCATGTAGTACATAAAGAAACAAAATAAACAAATGAACTAAATAAAACAAAAATGAAGTTTTTGACTCTAAGACCAATTGGTGATTATCAGAGGGAAGGACGAAACGGAGTGGGTAAGTTGTTCATGGTGAACAATAGAATTGGACTTTTAGTCATGAACTGAATGTAAATATACAGACATTTACTTATGCGCTTGACTGATACACACTTGAAACTAATATAATTTTATAGTGCAATATTACTGAAATAAAAAAATGTAAAGAAAATCACTTGGAGAAATATTTGATTTCCAAGTGAGAAAGATGTATCCAAGCATCAAAGCAAAGGAGAAAGGCATAAAGGAAATGACTGGTAGTCCTGACTTCATAAAAAAAGTTTTAGAGAAGTACTTAGTGATGTGGGAAACTGTTCATACCTATTGCCATGTCAAAAAATAAAAACTAGGGGGCCTCCCCGGTGGCGCAGGCGGTAGAGCGCAGCGCTGTGAATCTGTCTGCAGCCTCTGCAACATGGGTTTGATCCTGGCCAGCCGGCGAGAATCCCACATGACGCGGCAGACCTCTCCTATCTCGCCTGCTGCTCCCCTCAGCAGTGTCTTTGGTCATTCTGCCTGTTCTGTTCCCCACTCTGTCTCTGGTGAATCCTCTCACCTTCCCACGCACCTGGCCTGTACGCCGGTTCTTGTATAAAAATAAATAAATCTTTAAAAAAATAAAATAAAAACTAGGGACAGTCAGCACCACCATGGAGGAGAAACACCGCCACTACGACAGGGTTGGCTTTAATGCTGATGAAGCCCACAATATTGTTAAAGAGTGTATAGATGGCATCTTGGGTGGTGAAGAATACAATCAGATCAACATTAACCAATGGACCCCAAGCATAGTGGATCAATCCCTAGTGCATTTGGTTAAGTTGGGGAAAGCTTATAAATATATTGTGACCTGTCCTGTGGCCCAGAGGAGTAGATATGGCTTCCACATGGCCCGCTCACGTTTCTGGGATACCAGCTCTGATGGAACCTGTACTGTGAGTTGGGAAAACCAAACATGAACTGGGTCATCAATGTTTTCGCCATCATTATTGTTCTGTAATTTAGTAAAAGTGTTCAGTCGAAGCAATTAACTGAAGAATTTATTGTTGATCCATTCTAAAAAGAGTAATAGCTATTTATTAATATGTTAGATGACAGGTGTGCTGAATATTTCAAAGCTATCATCAGAAATTGATCATTACAAGCAAGCAATATCAGTAAATTGGCCGATTATCTCATATCCAACACAGCATCACTTAAACAGGAGACATTTAGTGTTAGCAAAAAAACAAATAGGGCTTCCCTGGTGGCGCAGCAGTTGAGCAATGGGCTGCGAAGCTGCCCGCAGCCTCTGCAGCGCCGGTTCGATTCCCGGATGCCGGGCGAGGGTCCCACATGGTGCGCAGACCTCTCCTGCCGCCCACTGCTCCCCTCAGCAGTGTACTTCATCAGTCTGCCTGCTCTGCTCTCCCCTCTGGCTCTGGTGAATTCTCTCACCCTCCCACGCTTCTGACTGTACCCAGTGCTTGTATAAATAATCTTTTAAAAAAAAAAAAATACAGAAATACAAATATGATCTGAAAATACAGTCTCATATTTAGACCAGCTTTTCCCTAACCATATATACTTAAGGAGATGAGGAGATTTCTTTAGATAATAAAATTCTTGTTCAGCTAGACACATTAATAAATATAAATATAAATGTATGAACAAAAAACTGCAAGGAGAAATATGGAGAAAATTGTATTAGCTAACATTCTGTTACTTTTTCTCCTCATTTGGTTGGACATATGATTTAGTGGAAAGTAATTCTGTTTTTTTTCTATCAACTAATACCATAGCAGCGATTTTTATTAACTTGTTTACTTTCCTGAGAATAGTTCAATCCATCTTTTAAATTTCAAGTTCTTGGATTTACATATGAGGGGGGAGTTATATCTGGTAACCTGGATTCCCTAGTTCAACAAAATTAGTTTTAACATGTGATGAAAATGCACAATTCTAATAGCAACCTTACAATTCACTCATTCCATGTAAAAGGACTATATATTCAGTTTCAGCATCTTTCTCTGCTAGGCATTTTTATAGTTATCAATCTGCTGTTCAGAGTCTAAGCTTTTTTTGGCACCTGTTCGGCTGGATAACTAACATTTATGTTTCAGGAAGAAGGAAAAAAAATGGTGCTTTACAGGGGAAGCAAAAAGTGAATGTGTCCAAGTAGAAGTGAGCAAAAGAAAAAGCACTTACTATTGACAGAGAATTATAGGTGTAATTTTAAGAATTGCTCCTAGCAAGTAGAAAATACATAAAAACATGCAACTTTTAGTTAAGGGCCTTCTTAGCAGCCTAACTCTACAAATATAAATTTTGTCATTGCTTTAGTTACAACCGTCCGCAAACAATTTTAAATACTTATGTGGGGTTCAAATTGAGTGGAATAAGTATAAATGAAAAGTGTACAATCACAAGCAGGTTACTGACTATCTCAGGGCTAATGAAATGTAGTTAAATTTATTAAGAAATAAAAGATGAAAGTAGGGTGCAAAGCTGGGCACTAAATGCAAAGTCAACCTGCTATGTAACCTGGAAAGCAAAGTCAAGTTGGAGTAGAACCATGAATCTTTGATGTTTGGGGGGAAAAAAAAGATTGGTATTGACAATGAGATAGTATTCTGGTAGGAGTACTATGTTTGTTTGATATTTTGCTGAGTAACAATAATTGTTCTGTGTTTGAATAGAATCTCAAGGAATACCAGGATAGAGTGAGTTAACACAGTGATCTCCGTTTTTGTCACATCACAAATACTCATAGTCATTACCTTTCTATTACCTTATGCTGATGGCTTTTGTGCCCTTGAATATTATAATAGTGATCAAAATATCTGTTCAGTTAAGGCTCGCTTTTGATTATTGTCATGGAAGCCTGAATTTAAAAGAATAAAAATAAAAAATACCTCATGAACTTGCTATCTGCTCTGTTCCTAATTAAACTATAATAAAGATTATCTTCTTGTGCTGTGAAAATAAATAAAACCTAATATAAACATTATAATTTCAATGTTGTAAAACATTTTTCTGAGAAATATACTAAATGGTGTTTTTCATGTTTTTCTGAATTTTCCAAATTTTCTATACTAAAACTAAACCAAACATTTTTATTCATTCCCTTTTTTATTTTTAATTGACAAAATATTTGGATACCCCCCATGAGGTATCACCACTATAGTGCACCCACCATCAAATCATCCATAATCCACCACCATCATCCATTGTGTTTCCTTCCCTCTTTTGAACCAAATCTTTATTAAAAATAAATTTCACCCAGCAAAAATGAGTAATTTATCTCAAATTAAACACCTTTTTGCTTAAATCTTGTATTCCTATTGGCATTTGAGTATCAGAACTTGAATTCTATTTAATTCAGTGACAGACCAAATATAAAGCAAGGATTTATGAAATGATGCCCTGCAAGTAAATTGGAACTAAATTAGTCTGAAATGGAAGGTACTTCCAGGCTTTGAAGACATATAAAATACAGGTAGATATAATGTAATCCTGTTATAGAAAGGCAATGAGGTGAGGAGGGAAACAGAAGGAGGGAAGTAGGTACGGTGAGTGAGGGGGAGAGAAAGAAACAGGGGGAGAGGAGGAGAGGAGAGGAGGGAGGGAGGGAGGGAGGGAGGGAGGGAGGGAGGGAGAGAGAGAGAGAGAGAATGAAAGCTTCCTTAGCTCTCCCAGGTAAGCCTCACTCTTCTCTGTGCTCTATATAATGTGAAACTTCATTCTTTCTGGCCCATCCTGGTTACAATAGAAAGTCACCCCTGTTACAAAGGATGACTCCTGTACTTTCTTTGTGGTAGATAAATATTCTTATACAATAGATTTTAATAATGGTACAAAGTTGTTCCTGGTCTGTTCTGTTGATCATGTAAAGGTGACCAACGATTGTTATTAGGCTATGTCAATATAAAAGTTCCAAAAATGTGAAGTGATGTTGGGAAAAAGTAAAGTGGACAAGCAACTAATATATTCTTCATGGTAACACAAAGCATTTCAAATATTTATAACTCACTGGAAAATATAAATTAATAGAGAACATTTTTCAATCTTCACCTACTGTTAGAGTAATCAATCTCTGAGTGGTTCTGTTCTATGGGTAAGTTGACTGTGTTTAGAAATAATTAGGTTTTACAAGATTAGCATATTATTTTCCAATTCTCCACCCTTCATTCACAGAACTTCTGCTTATTACTTTCAAACATTTAATTACCATCTTGTATATAACAAACTTCTCAAATATCTTTATTGATTAAGCTTCCTTTTCTAGTTTCCCTAAAAACACTCCAGCTTTAACTCGCCTCGTATAGAATTTTAAATCTCTATTTTGCGTTGAGAGTCTACCCACTTTGATGCTGCCACCTTTTTCCACCCTAAATAATTTTACTCCACTCTAGTTTAGGTGAGGATATTAGCCAGTTAGATCTATGACTGCCCCCTTCCTTTGACCTCAGCTGTAACATCCCTTTATTGAATGTGTGATTATTTTTAGGTCTTCTGTAGTGATTCAATAAGAAAACAAAAATAATGGAAAATTTAAAGGTTTTTTAAAAAAATAAAACAGTAACACCTATTCTGGGGGGGAAAAAAATGTCATCAATATTCCAGAACATCCTGGAGCACTAATAAAGCAAACATCCAGCCAAATAAAACCAGTAACAGTGACAAGGAGGGACTTTGTCACACCACACAAAGACTTAAATATTTGTAAAATTTCTCTTCAAGTGTAACCAAAGTCTATTTGGTGAAATCTGGTAGCTGGTATATGGTCATGTATATACATAATTGGAAGCCAAAATAGTCTTTGTAGGTGGTGAACACCAAATGATTCTCTTTTTTTGTCTCTATTATTAAATTCATAAATTCCCTAAACTGTTGCCAAACATAGTATTGCCTAGCCGAAGATAATTTTCAAACCTATATCTTTTAATTTAAAACCAAAACCCACTTTAGTGGGTTTAACTTTATTGTTAAAATGAATTGAAGGTGAGTGTAGTACCGAAAGACTGCCACACTGAGGCGTGTGGTGCATTGTTTTGTTGCAGGCTTTCAGAGCTGGACTACATGCATCAATCTTCCTCATAAGCAACAACAGTAGTCAAGAAATTAAACTTGTGAAGCCCAGATGGAACATGATGGGTTGGCATCCCCTTTTCTGTTTGTATGGGTGGTATTAATTGATTACTAAAAATATCCAACCTATTAGAAGGAAAGCACACTCCTATGGTCTGTATAGTTATCATGTTAGAATAGCTGCAAGTAAAACATCAGATGGTCATCTTTATTCTAGAAACTCCACCTAAGCTATAAAAAAGAAATGATCTATTACTTAAAACACTCATGCAAGGAGATCTCTCAGTTATTCTATTCAGTATTTAACAGCCATCACGTTGTAACCAGATGGAGAATGGCTACAATTCTCAGACAGTTATAAAAATCACAAATACAGCATATGTAATACAATGACACCCTGTTTGTCAGAGAAAAAACATGTCCTGACAAGTCTTAGAAATTAAATCCACTCCAGAATAGAATATTTGTGAACAGCTTCCTCATTTCATTTACTATTTGTCAATGGCCTTGAAATACAGAAAACAAAGTTGACATATCCATAATGACAAGGTTTTTAACACAATTCTACATGATTAAGAAGACATACAAAATTTTTAGTAAGAATCTAGATATAACATAATAAACTTAATGTACTAAACACAAATAGACTCCATACCCAATAATTAGAGAATGCATATTCTTTTTGAGCAAAAGTGGAACATTTCCCAAAAATGAGTATATGTTAGATGGCACAAGCAAAGTTTAATAAATACCCAAGAATCTGTGTCACATAGATCATATTCTCTGATTATAATGCAGTTGATAGAATTTATAAAAATGTAACTTTAAAACTAAACCTCATGTTCTTTAAAACATATAAAAATTATAAGTAACTCATGCTTTAAAGGAATCAAGGAGATGTTTCAATATTTACACCTGAATGA